CTAACTATATCTCTGTCAGATATATTTCATTTCACCAGCCATGGTGGCTCACACCTGTAATCCTAGCACGTTTAGAGGTTGAGGCAGGAGGACTGTTTGAGCCTGGAGGTTCGAGACCAGCCTGGGCATCATAGCAGGACCTCTTCTCTACCAAAAATAAATAAATAAATAAAAATTTAGCTAGGTGTGGTAGCGAATGCCTGTAGTCCCAGCTACCCAGAAGGCTGAGGCAGAAGGGTTACCTGAGCCCAGGAGGTTGAGGTTAACTGTGATTGTGCCACAGTACTCCAGCCTGGACAACAGAGTGAGACCCCAACTCAAAAACAAACAAAAACTCCATTTCATCTAGGATATCATGTAGATATTCAAAAAAGTATCTACTGAGCACATGCTGTTTGTCTGCTGGGGGCGGTTGAAGCAGTGCTGGTAGCAATTCTGCGAAGCAGTAGAAAGTAAAAAGGCCCTTGCCATCTAGAGCTTACTGAGCAATGAAGGAAACAGATAATAAATACATGAGCAAACAAACCAAGGAATAAGACGATTTTAATAACAATACACAATCTGAATAAAATATAACAAATCAGAGTGACAGAAAAATAAAAATGGCGTGGGATAGTTAGCATTCTTTGGGAGGACCTGAGAAGCAGGGAGGACCCGAGAAGCGAGTGAGGGTGATGGTAGGAAATATAATGAGAACAAGAAGGAGCCAGATCCTGGAGGTCCTTGTAGGCCATAGAAAGAATCTGGTTTTTACTCTTGAGAGAAATGGGGAGTTTTTGAGCAAGTTACTGATTAGACGATTGGCATGTTAGAGAAGAAGGAAGCCGAAAGAGAGTGAGTGACAAGCAGGACAGATGATCACAGGGCATGAAGGGGAAGAAAGGGATGGGTGGAACTCTTGAAGAAATTGCATGCTGACTCTAAATGAGACCGGGTTCTGAGTGGAGGAGTAAAGTGCTCTGGCTTTCATTTCAACCAGGATCATTCTGACCAAGGAGAGCAAGTGGGGAAATAGGATGTCAGTTAGGAAACTATGTGATAATATAAACGAGACATATTAATGTGGCTAGTAGAAAGGGCTCAAAGAAAGAGGTAACAGTGGAAGTCGTATGAAAGGGGTGGATTCCAGAATTATTTTGAAGATAATGTGGACAGGCTTACTTAGTTAACGTGTTGGATATGGAGTGACAGCAAAAGGAAAAGATTATTGCAAAGGCTCTAAATGACTGAAAAACGAGGTAATCCTCACAGACTGGACAGTTCCTTAGTAGCAAGAAATGTAAAGACAGAGAAGAGAGGTGCGAATGCTGGAAAAAGGGAGGGTATAGGATCGTGTAGAAGTTCTCAGATATCGCAGGTTGAAGAAAGTGGAGAAGGTATGAAATGGCTGCCTAGAAGAACAGGACTAGGGGAAATACAGCATGATAGCTGGGCAGCACTAAGTTCATAAGTCTAGAATGAGACCAATTAGAGCATGGGGACAGGTGGGGAACGCAGAGTGGGACTACTCATAGTCACAGTTTTGAGAGACTAGGAGGACGTAAGAGAGGCACAAGACAGATTGCACACAGGAAGCAAGTAAACAATGGACAACTGTCTCTTGCATCCTGACACAGTATTTCCTTCTGGATTCACTTTTTTCCACATTCTATTTTATTATCTAATTGGTTTTTCAAAGAGAACCCATGGTATTAACTTTCTATGTCACTATTTCTCTGCAGATACCTTCATTCCCCATTATCTTGATTAATAATTTATCTGATATAGACTTCAGAGATACAAGTTATCTTCCCTGACCTCTTTGAAGATACTGTTCCAATATTTTTTACATCTAGTACCACTGATGAAAAATCTGGTGTAAATGTCATTCTCCTAGATAGGAAATTTGTGTGGTAGAATTTGGAATTTTCTTATGTCATTATTACTCTGAAGTATCACTGTAATATTTCCAGATCTTATTCATTATTGTACAGCCTGGGTTAATCTTGGCCATTCTGGATTAACACCATACTTATCTCCACAGCTGTCTGGAGCATGGTACTGACGCTCAGCTAAAGCTATGGCCAAGATAGGTGGTGTTTGCAACCACAGGTTCCTGGGCTATTTAGGGACAGAACAACCAGTCTGTCAGCACTGTTTTAGTAATCGTTACTGAACCATTTCTGCCAAGTGACTGCACTTAGATTCTTAACTTATTCCTCATTTTTGAGTTTAAAGTCATCAGACCTTCAATAGCTATCATGTTTGTTCCATTTGTCTCTTTCCTAACAATACATATTAACCTCCATAACAATGACGTTCCTTTATCTGATACTTGTTATTAGAAAGATGTCATAGATATGTTCTTCAGCACTGCTTTGTCCAGATGTGCAGATGTATCCACTAATTAATTTACAATTAATATATTGCACGTGCCAACGTTATCAGCATCAAAACATTCAATGGAGAGGGTTATGAATAATATCCAGCCCTCTAACACAGTGACGCAGTATCATGTGCATCCCATACTATACCAGGAAAAAGCCATGGTGAATTCAATGTCTTTTGTGATTTTCCTGCCTTAAAAATCATCAATTGATAAAGGTAATTAAATTTCAAACACTTGCCAATTGCCATGAAATAAATAAATAAAACACGAACTAAATAAAACAGCTTGCTTTCTAACCATATAGACTTGCTCATATTCATCTTCACAGAAGTTTGATAAATATGTTCTGATAACCTATGCATTTGTATCTGATGCAAATTTTTCTTCATAAATGAATGTTTGGGTGTCTAGTAAGTTTTTAACACTGGTTAAAGACTGACATGCCTACAGTGACCACTGGCTCTCAGTGGTAATAATCCTTTCACATGCGGGAAGTCTGATGCTAAAACGATAGCATATCTGTAACAGAGTCTTTTCTAGGTGAATTTTCTGATATAATAAGTCTTGAAGATTTTTACTAAATGTATTGTCAAATTCATAATCTTTGAAAGGTTTTCCTCCTGTATGACTGTTATGAATTTTAGTAAGGCTGACACAATGAAGGGTTCTCTCATTCATTGTGTTTGAAAACTATAAAGACTAGAATATACACTAAAAGCCTTTCCATAAAGTTACATCTACCAGGTTTCTTTCCAGTAAGAATTATCTGATTAACATTAAGGCAGGACACTTGTTGCAGGCCTGTCTACCAGGTGATAGTGTTTACAAAGTTAGATATAAAACAGAACAAGAAAAAAACTAAGGAGGTTCATACAAAGTTTGTAAAAAGAGGCTATAATATTTTATTTTGAGGCCTGGTGCGGTGGCTCATGCCTATAATCCCAGTACTTTGGAAGGCCGAGGTGAGAGGACTGTCTGAGGCCATGGGTTCGAGACCAGCCTGGGCAACTTAGTGAGACCTCATTTCTACAATAAATCAAAAAATTAGCCAAGCATGGTGGCACGTGCCTATGGTTCCAGCTACTTGGAAGGCTAAGGCAGAAGGATCATCTGAGCCCAGCAGGTCGAGGTTGCAGTGGCTGTGAGCATGCCACTGCACTCCAACCAGGGCAACAGAGTGAGACTCCAACTCAAAGAAAAAATATATATATATTTTTTTAAATTTTGTACCTGAATAGATATTAACCATATTTCCATCATGAATGATTCTCCTTTTAATAATTAATCAGTTTGAATAGTCTACAAATATTATAATTTTACAGAGGTAAAGGAAAATCATATATAATTTATATACAAGACTTTAGCCTTAAACCTAAATTCTATCAATCCCTTCATCTTGCCTAAAAATAATTGAGGCATATAAGTTACAAAGTAGCACGTTAATTTCATTTTTGTACAAAGAGAAGTATAGACTAAGTGGCGGGGGTTAGGAAGGAGGAGGTATTTCTTTAACCCTACATCAAAGCAAACACTTCCAGAAAATTTAAATACTCAGCTTTCTGAAATCATGGTGCTACCTTCTCACTCCCCACTTTCAGAAACACACAGTTACCTCTGCCTAGCATGTTCTTCTCAATGCTGTATCACTACCTTTACTCACTCTCCAAAACCCAAAGGAAACCTTTCCTGGTGCCACCTCCTACACTTAAGGCTTTACTCTTCCATGCTTCCACAACATCTAGTACAACCTCCAGTGAGGTACTTTTGTACTCTACTATAATTGCACCCATGGATGTCTGTCTCTCCCTCTATAGATCTGAAGCTGCAAGAGCCACACGGGCCTTATACATCCCCGGAATCTAGCACAATGTCTGGTATATAGTATATTTTCAACAGTTTTAAAATAAATTATCCTATTTGAAGTTATTCAAATGCCTTCAATTTTATGCTTTCTGGAAAAATTTTTTTCTTTTCTTTTCTTTTTCTTTTTTTTTTTAAGCTGGAGTCTCATTCTGTCTCCCAGGCTGGAGTGTGGTGGCATGCTCAAGGTCATTGCAGCCTCGACCTGCTGGGCTCAGGTGATCCTTCAGCCTCAGCTTTCCAAGTAGCTAGAACCACAGGTGTGCGCCACCATGCCCGGCTAAATTTTTGATTTATTGTAGAGATGAGATCTGGCCAAGTTGCCCAGGCTGGTCTCAAAACCTGTAGACTCAGGCAATCCTCTTACCTCAACCTCCCAAAGTGCTGGGATTACAGGCATGAGCTACCATGCCTGGCCAAGGAAAATTATTTTCTTAATCCATCTATTTTAATTGTTTTGTTTCCTGGTACTCTTCCAAGAGTATATTTTTTAAAAAACCAAAAAACATCTAGGAGGGAAGAACAAGTCAATAGCATCTTATGACTAAAATATGATTCAACTATTATTGTCCTAAGAAATTTTACAACAATTAAAACTCTGACCAGTCACATATTAACTAAATAAATCTTACAAAGAGAAAGTTAGCATCCCTATAATATGTGAAGTCCCTGATTGGTTAAATAAAAACTATTACAGAATCTTTTTTTGCATGTGTCATTAAAATTTAACCTAAATAAACATTAAAAGTGTTTCGTGGGAAAATGTACTTACCCTGACATCAGTAGCATCTCCATGTCTGATAATACTGGCCCAGGTGGTTGGCTCACTATTGCTTTCAAAATAATGAAAGACCTTTAATACTCGCTCCATCGCACCAGGGGAACGCTCCATGCCAGTACCCAGGTGAGTCTTTGTACTTGAATTTGGTGTGTGATTCAAGTTTGGGTCAAGGTAAGCAGCTGCCATTATTTTGCTAGATGCTAAGTATCTGTCATATTCTGTTAAGAGAAAAATATAATTTTTCGTATACAATATTTGAAATCTACTAATTACAATGTAATATGATATATATATTAACACTGTCCTATATTCTCTCTCCATATGTTACAAGCAGAAGGAGCCTGAGGAGAACAAACTCCAAATTCACCAGAATAATCACTATGCTCAGAACAGTAACTGATTTATAGTAGCATAACAAATGCTTGTTTAACCAATTATTAAAAGGCCAGGACTCTATTTCAGCTGCTTCAAAAATGCATTGTGTTATCGATAAACAATGAAACCACACCTGCCTCCTTTTTTTTAAAATCAGTCTTTAAATTTGTGGGAAATCTCATAGCAAAACTACATTTGTTTACTTGCTGCCCACTTTTGAAAACTTTTATCTAAGTTCTTTCTTCATAACTAAAAATTCAATGAGTAGTCATCATACACACTAGGCACTGGTGATTAAAAACACTAATTAAAACAAGGTCCTCCCATTTAGTCAAGTCACTGTTAAACAGCAGAATCAGACATAGAACAACTGAAAATAAAACAACAACAACAACAACAACCATACACAATCAAACTTTTTGAAGTGTGATAGGACTTCCATTTAAGTAAGAAAGAATAGCTTGGGCAACCCTACAACTCCCGCTAAGAAAAGTCAGAAAATTCAGATTAAAATTGTTTGAAAACCCAAACAATACTTGAAGGGATCAAGACAGAGACATTCTGAAGCAACCAAGACAATGAGGGACACAGATGGAGTAAGGAAATTATACTTAACAGCTAGCTGCTTTTTCCCATGGGGCATTTGCCAATTCTAAGCCCTCAAGAGCCTGAAGAGACAAGAAAAGGTTTCTAATGAGAAAAATCAGCAGCACTTTTGGCTACAAGAGAGCAAATCCTAACCTTGAGGGGCCCAGGATTCCGGTGAGAAGGGAAAGTGGAGACTGAGTCAAACACTGCTTGCTGTCCCCTTATGTAGTTACTGAGCCAAGAAGGAGCCTCTAAAAGCATAGGGAGATAGGTAGAGAAGGCTTAGGAAATGGGAATTAGACTTCAGGATTCACCGAAGTTGTCTCAGGACATCCCCAGGCTCACAATGAGAAGAGCTGGAAGCAGAAGGAGAGCTTTATAAACCTGGAGCACAGTCTCTGCTCAGATCCACCATAAAGTTAATTTAGTGACCCAAGCTGCCCTGCAAAGAAAAGGGTCAACCCTCCATAGAGAAAGACAGTATCAACTAAAGCACAAATAATAATTTTTTTATCCACAATGTTTTCCATTTAGTTAACAAAAAGGTGTGATATCATAGTAAAAAGGAAAATTCATAAACTAAGTAAAAAAATAACAATAAAACAGAAGAAAAATACACGTACTCATAGAAAAAAGCTAATACCCTGACTGTATACAAAAAGTCTTTTAAAATGAGGGGGAAAATGGTAGAAAAGTAAGAAAAAGATATGACCAGAGAATTTATTTAAAAGGTATAACAAGAGTAGGCAAAGATGTAGAAAAACTGGAACCCTCTAAAATTGCTAGTGGTGCAACCAGAAGTAAAATGGTGCATCCACTATGGAAATAGTTTGGCAGGTCACAAAACGTTAAACATAAGAGTTCCCAGCCGGGCTCGGTGGCTCAGCCTGTAATCCCGCACCTTTGGGAGGCGGAGGTGAGAGGACTGCCTGAGCCTGCGTGTTCGAGACCTGCCTGGGCAGCGAGACCTCATCTCTACAATAAATCAAAAAATCAGCCGGGCGTGGCAGCGCGCGCCTGTAATTCCGGCTACTCAGAAGGCTGAGGCAGAAGGATCACCGGAGCCCAGCAGGTCGAGGCTGCGGTGGCCGGAAGCAGCCACTGCACTCCAGTCTGGGTGACACAGTGAGACTCCAACTTAAAAAAAAACAGTTCCCATATAACCAAACAATTCTAATCCTAGGAATATGTCCATGAGAACTGAAAACATACTCCAAATAAAAATGTGTACATGAATGTTCACAACAGTATTATTCATATTAGCCAAAAAGTGAAAATAAACCAAAATATCCATCAATGGATAAATGGATTAAACAAAATGTGGTATACCCAACAATGAAATACTCTAGCAAAAAAAGGAATAAAGTATTAATACATACTACAACATGGATGAATCTTGAAAACATTATTATAAGTCAAAGAAACTAGACATAAAAAGCCACAAATTATACCAATTCTACTTACATAAAATGTCTAGACTATGTCACTATAGAGACAAGAAGGTAGATTACTTGGCTGTCAGGAGAGTAGAGTCGGGAATGACAGCTAGTAGGGGTTTCTTTTGGAAAGGATAGAAATGTTCTGGAATTAGTGGTGATGGTTGCACAACATTGGGACTATACTAAAAAAAACATTCAACTGTACATTTTGAAGTGGTTAAAATGGTGAACTTCATATTATGGGAATTTGACCTCTGTAAAAATATAAACATTTAAACAACTGTTGAATGATTTCTTTAAAAAAGACATAGCAGTATTCTATCAATAAGGGTGTGAGGAAACAGCAACAATCATACCTTGCTGGTGGGAATGCAAATCATTCAATCTTTAAGTAAGAGAATTTGGCAATACAGTACCTAACAAAACTACATGTGCCTTTACCTACTGACCTCTCAATTCCACTTCAAGGAATTTATGCCAAAGATATACTGTTATGGACTGAATGTCTGTGTCCTCTCAAAATTCATATGTTGTGATGATATTACAAAGTGGGGGGGTCTTTGGAAGGTAATTAGGATTAGATGAGATCATAAAGGTGGGACCCTCATGAACGGGATTAATACCTTATAAGAGTCCAAGAAAACATGCTTCTTCTCTCTGCTATCCAGAGATTTGCTTGAGGATATAAGTTAGCAGTCTGCAACCGGCTGACTGGGCCCTCACCAGAACTATACCAGGCTGGCACCTTGACCTAGGACTTCCAGCCTTCAAAATGGTAAGAAATAAGTTTCTATTGTTTATAAGCCATCCAATTTATATATTTTGTCACAGTAGCCAAGCTAAGACATATACTTACAACAATATGAAAATACATGTAAGTAAGGTTATTCACTGCAGCCTTGCAAGGTACTGGAAAACATTGAATGCCCATTCATAAGAGAATAATTGAATAAACAATGGTACTTTTCCATGATAAAGTATTATTATTATTCCATTGGGGGAAAAAATTAAAGGAACAAGAAAGATCCCTATAATTAAGTATTATTTCCAGGATACATTTATTGTTAAGTTCAAAATTCTGAGTGCAAAGGATAGCCACAACACATCTCTTGTATAAAAGGGAGAGATAGGAAAATATAAGTGTATCTGCTCACATGTGTAAAATAAAACAACAAAATAGAAATGAAAGATCAGTAACACAGGTTACATATGGAGGAAGCAAGACCGAGATGGAAAAAACAGGAAGGGGGATATAGTGTGGTGCGGTACTTCTGAGTATAATTAAATATACATACCCCTTCTAACTTCTGGTACTAAAAGTTCTTCTTCTACCATAGAAGACTTAAACAGCACAATTAACAAACTAGATCTAACTGACATAGAAAGTGACACTATACTCAAAAGGATAATGCATAATCACTTGAAGTACACATGAAGGATTTTCTAAAATTGGCCATATATGCTGAGTGAAATAACAAAATTCAATAAATATCAAATGATCAAAATTATTCAGAGTATGTTCTGTGTCTAGTATTAGGCTAGCCAACAATTTAAAAATAACTAGAAAACCCTCCATTGTCAGGAAATTAAGCAATATATTTCATGTAACCTACTAGTCAAAAAGGAACTCAAAGTATTTTGAATTGAAATCGTGCAAAGACATATCAAAACTTGGATATAGACAAAGCTGTACTTACATTAAAGTCTATACATTTAAATGCATGTATCAGAAATGAAGTTTTAGAAATCAGTGACATAAGTATGCATACCTAACAGGACAATTTAGAAACTGAACAAAATCAAAAGCTATTTCTTTAAAACAATAAAATAAAATTGATACATCTCTAGTAAAACTAATGAAGGATAAATAAAGGCAAGAGAAGCTAGCAATTTCAAGAATGAAGAACAGGTAAGAATAATAACACAATAAGAGATAATGAACTATTAATACATTAATAAGAGATTATAAACTTTATGCCAGTGAATGTGAAAACTTAGATAGAACAATTCTCTGCAAAACACAACTTAGCAAAAATGAAACAAGAAACATAAATTTGAAATAGACCATTCTATTAAAAATAGTCTGTCTATAATTCTCTGCACAAAGGAATATTTCAATACTTTCAATCAATTAAGGAAGAGATAATAGTAATCTCACAGAATTTTTCCAGAAAACAAATATAAAACATTTCTCCACTTGTTTATAAGTAAAATAGGAAAATCAAAACCTGGGAAGGACATACGAGAAAGAATGTCAATCTTTCTTATAACACAGATGCAAAAATCTTCACAGATTATTAGCAAATTTAATTCAGCAACATTTAAAAAGAATAACACATTATGACCAAAAGGAGATTATTCTAGGAAGTTAAGATGGTTATACATTCAAAATGCAATTAATGTAATTCACCACATTCTTAAAAAGAAGAGCCATAGTTATCTTGACAGATACAGAAAAAATATCTGATAAAGGTGTGTGTGTGTGTGTGTGTGTGTGTGTGTGTGTGTGTGTGTGTGTTTTAGTTGGAGTCTCACGCTGTCACCCAGGCTGGAGTACAGTGGCACATTCACGGCCACTGCAGCCTCGAACTGCTGGGCTCTGGTGATCCTTCTGCCTTAGCGTTCAAGTAGCTGGAAATACAGGCACACGCCGCCACCACCAGCTAATTTTTTGATTTATTGTAGAGATGAGGTCTCACCAAGTTGCCCTGGCTGGTCTTGAACCCCTGGGCTCAGGCAATACTCTCACCTTGGCCTCCCAAAGTGCTGGAATTATAGTTGTGAGCCACTGTGCCCAACCTGATAAAGTTTACCAA